ATTACATATATTCATTATTTTTACATTATTTATATAATTTTCTCCGCAGAAATTTCATTTTCTCAGCAATTTTACAAAATACACCTATTGTTTATATTATCAAGATGATTCCTAATATTTTACATTTAAAAAAAAATCTTGAAACCAAAAATACTAAAAAAAAACAAACCCATATTTCTTTATAAAAATGACCTATATAGAAGTAATTTTGGAAAATTAACACAATTGTTTATAAAAATAATTGAACTATCTTATTTAATTTAAAATAGAATTTAGCATATTATAATATTCTTTGCATTTATGAACTTTTAATAAGTAAAATGCTTTTACTTTATTTAATTTATTTTGCATCAAGTTTCCAGAATTTGTTTTCATATTTTTAATTTGTAATTATTGTGGTAGTCAACTATAATAGATTTTTTTTTTCATTTAATTTTCAAATATTCTTTAATTAACTATCAAATCAGTTATCTACTTCCCCCGTCATTTAAATTTATACTCATTTTTCTTTTTGGATTAAGTAAAAAATTATTCAACTTTTGTACTGTTTTTTACTATAAAAGAAAAAATTAACAATTATTAGTCACTTTTATTAAAATCTATACCCGATCAAATAAACATATATTTGCATGACGGAGAGTATTATATTTAGAACGGTTAAATCAATCACTTATTAAATACATCCTATTGTATATATTATTGATTTTTAAATGCTTATTTTTATTAGAAATAAATTTTCATCTAAGATATCTAAAATTTAGAAAAATATTCCAAAACACAAATGTTTATTTCTTATTTTAAATAAGAAAAATTATATTCTTCGATCCACACAGTTTTTAATAAAAATATAATTTATTTTTTACAAATTATTATATCAAAATGCCATTAGACTAAATTTCAAATTTAAATTCAAATCAAAATCAAATAAACTCAAAAAGTGTGTTTACATGATATATATAATTTCTTATTTTGATTTAATTTAGATAATAATTTAAATATAATATTTTATAACAAAACATATTATATATTTTCTTTTATAGAGAAAATGACAGTTAGAAAAATTGAATAAATTAATTAAATAGTACAAATAAACAAGGCATAAGAATGTTTATTACAATCATCCCAACCTACTTCGCCACCTAAGTGGCTTTGATACCGCTGTTGAGATTGGATCAACTATGATAGTGTCCGCTTTGAGCTGAGCCCGCACGAATTTGTTTTTGGATATCCTCCAAAAGGCCTCATCCTAGTGGAGTTCACTTGGGACTTATAAGGTGTGAAATTTTCTTCACAACTTCCGATGTGGGACTTGGGTTTGCACCCCAACAAGAGCAAAAAAGTTTTTTACCTGTATTTTTCAACAACTGCCAATATAATTCAATATTCCTTAAATCTCGTGCCTATTTAATTAAAACTATAATTCTAATACAGAGGGAGTATAACCCGAGATGGCATTTTCTTCAGCTATAGCCGACGGTTGAGCAACTGAGTATTATTCTCTTTCTCTTTTTCTCTGAATTCAATGTAATATAAATAAGTATTAATATAATATTTAAAATATAAAATTAATTTTTAAGATAATATAAAAATATTTAACTTATATTTTAAAAAATCAAATAAATAACATGAGTAATTTAAATTAAAAACTCACACACAAAAAAGACTATTTTAATATTCCATAAAGCAGTAGAAGTAGTACGGACGGGCGTTCGGTTGGCCCACTTTAAATTCGGATCATATCCTTAATAGTTCTTGTTTGTTATTTGAATTTTAAATTTAAGTTTTGAATAATAAAAAAATTAAAAGTTTAATAATAGTATAATACTATTATATCAATATAATTTAATATAATATTTTAAATATATATTCATTATTAATATATATATGTAAAAGATTAAAAAATTTTAGAAATATTTAGTGAACAATAGTATATTATGATATTATTTCATTATATTTATATAAATGATTTATTGATAATTTTAAAATGAGATAAAAATATATAAAATATTATTAAATATACTAAAATAAAAACCAACCTTTATAAAAAAAAGAGAAATTATTATTTAATAAATATGATAATAATTTAAATTTAATGATTTAATCGTTTATAATTATTTTACCATGATTATACATAATTAATTAACTATAAATATTAATAAAAATTAGATATATCAATAATTATATAATTTACTACAAATGTTAGTTACAAAACTAGAATATAGGGAGTTCCACGGTGTGTTCTTTTATAGGGTTTCTCTTTATTAAAAAAAAGTTATTTAAAATATCAAATTAAATATTTATTTTTTATATTATATTAAAAATTAATTTTATATTCAAAATATCACATTAACATATATTTATATCATATTATATAATTATTTTAATTTAAATTTTTTACTATTCAAATATCAAATCCAAACCCTCAAACAAACACACGCTGGAGGTTTTATTGTTAAATATTAAGATAATAAAAGTATTATTAAGATGTTTATTTACTTTATATATTTTTAATATTATCTAAGAAAAATAAATATATCAAAATTATGCACTTTTCTTTGGACTTTTTATACTCCATCCGTTCCGAAATTAAATATCCATTTGTTTTTTGCACATAGTTTTAGAAATATTAGTATTATATTGGGATATAATAAGAATAAAATAGAAATGACTAAAATAACCTTATTAGTATGTGTGATATAAAGGTAATGACATTTGTGTAATATATTGTAAGTTGTAAGGGCATTTGTAATGTTAGGTAGATAGTACAGTTACTAAAAAAGAAAATAGATATTTTCTTATGGGACGGACTAAAATGAAAAAATAAATACTTTGTTATGGAACGGAGGGAGTATTATTTTGTCCGAATGCAAAGACTAAAAAATAATGATATTTAGTACGCCTAGTAATAATTTATATGTTTTTTATTTTGACCTATCCAAAATCAATAAATTTATTTTTATAGTAATATTACTTTTATGTAATATGTTAAATACCATTACAATTTATATTATATTATAAAAATATTATTGTTTTATTTTATTGTATTTGTATTATACATAATACTCCCTCCGTCCAAAAATATAGTCTTATTGTGTTGGACACGAGATTTGAATATTGATATTATAGTGGTAGTTGGTGAAAAGTAAAGATAAATGATTTTTTTGCCCTTACGAGTGTATTAGTGTAAAAAGTAATGACAATTGTGTAATAATAATGAAAAAATAAAGATAGTTTTATGATGATACGGTTATTTATATAAATGAGATTATTATTTTGGGACGGACGAAAATGGTAAATAAAACTATTGTATTAGAACGTAGGGAGTAATATTTTTTTATTTCATACATATATTTATTTTTTTGTGGTTTCAAATTAAAATTAATATTATTTACACACTGCAAAGTTTTTCAATAAAAAATATATTATTTTATTTTTCAATATATTATACGAAAATACAATTTATGTAAATCAACATCCTATTTAAAATAAATTTCAAACAATAACCAAACAAATTTTATACTTCTATTTAAATAATTATGTACAAAAAAAAAACAAATGAATATCTTCTTATGCAATAAATACTCCTCTATTCCAGCTAATAAATATATATTTATTTTTAACACGAAAGTTTAAGAAATAATAATAATAATTTAATTATAGTGAGTAATTAAAACTATAAATTCTAAACCCTAAAGATGATTCATTTATAATTTTAGTAAATTTATCGATCTTAAGCGCACTTAACAAATATATATCAATTTAATTAAACCCACTCAAATAACTTTCTTTAATTAACAAATATTTTCATTTACTTTTTAAAAAAGTCTCATTTTTTTTTTATAAAACTAATTTATGATAATGATAAATAAAATAAATAAATTATTTTTATTATATAAAATTTTATTATTTATAAAATAATATCCATATTTTATATTATTTTATTAAAATATAATGTTAAAAATATTTAAATACATTTTTAAAATTTCTTTTAATTATTAAATAATTAATTCTCATTATCTAAATTACTACTCCCTCCGTCTCATATAATTTGTCCCTATTTTCTATCTTCGTCCGTCCCACATAACTTTGTCCTTTTTATTTTTGGAAATATAACTATGCACTTTAATCGTATTTTAAATTTTAAAATTTATAACTTTTTTAATTTTAATTAAACTTTTTACTTATCTTAATCTTCATCCATAATTATTTTTACTAATACACTTCTTAATTACTTACTAATTATACTTTACCTAAATTCTCGTATCTACGGTAATACACTCATATTACATGGGACGGAGAAAGTAATTTATACTACCTAAATTTTCGTGACCAAACAAATACTTTAGCTTTGTCGGGACGGAGAGAGTATTTACTAAAATAAAAATAATAAAATTATTAATAAATCAATAAAGTTTGTTTGCTCAAGATTTTACTTCGAATAAACTTTAAAAGATCTTCTTAGGGTGTGTTTGTTTGGGGGTTTGGATTTTGGATTGGGATTTGAATAGTAAAAATTTTGAATTTGAATAGTTGTATGATGTGATATAAATAGGGTTTGATGTGATGTTTTGAATGTAAAATTGATTTTTAGTATAATATAAAAAATGAAAAATAGGTATTTGATTTGATGTTTTTGGGGGGAAAAAATTGAATGAATAGTATAAATCCTCCAAAATCCTTCAAACAAACACACCCTTAGTTTAGGACGAATAAAATATTTTTTTATATTATTAGGGATAATTTATTTATTTATTTTTTTCAAATCAAAATACTAAATAAAAAAACTCAAAAATTATTTATTATAAATAAAATAGAGATAAAGTAATTTTATAGAAGTGAGCAAATCACAAATTTCACAATTATTTTACTTTCAGAAAAATAAAATAAAAGGAAACAAACAAAGACTTGTGTCTCAGTCTAGAATTTAATTTTGTGTTTCCCAAATCGGATAATCCAAACAACAAAACTCTCTCTGCATTTGCCTCAAAAAATCTCTTTACACAGAACTCTCCACCAAGAAGAACACCTTTCTTTCAATTACATACATATATATCTATATCTGTATCTATCTGTATATGCCCTAATTTTGTCGTGAAGAAGACGAAGAAGAAGAAGAACAAATTTGGGGGCAGAGGGCGCCATTGCCTATCCGCGTAAAATACATGGGACAAAGTTAAAATCGATTCTGCAACTCTTCCTTTTCTCACTGGGTCCCCTTCTTTTCTCTCTCTAAATTCCTTTCTCACTCTACAATCTCCATTTTCTATAAACCACCACCACCTCTCCCACACCATTCCCTCTCTCTCTCCATTTTCTTCCGCAACAAATCGATCATTTTCAATTTAGTTCAATTTTTTCGTATATGGAAAGCGCTCAGACAATTCCGGCGATGTTCCGGCCGCCGGAGACGCCGCGTGAGCCGATGGAGTTCCTCGCGCGGTCGTGGAGCGTGTCCGCCTTCGAAATCTCCAAAGCCTTAGCCCCGACGAAGAACAAAAACGCCTCTCTAGCTCAAAACGGCGTCGTTCCGAGCGGTAATAACGGAACCATACCGGAGGACGTCTCGGCTGAGTTCTCGACGGCGCCGGCGACGGAGATGGCGGTTTCCGGCAATCCTTTCACCTTTGTCTGTTCGGAGACTTCTCAGCTCGTCATGGACCGCATTATGTCTCACTCTGTAAGTCTCTATCTGAATCCATGAATTTCGATCCTCTTTACAGTTGCAGAAACCGAAGCTTTGGCCTGATTTGTTTTCGATTTTGGATTCTAATTGACTTCGACATGTTTGCAAGGAGCCAAAAAGAAAAAAAAAAAAAAATAGGTTCCCGATTTTGTCCATATTCCAGTTCTTGTCTGGGCATGAGAAAACCTCCATTTTCATTGCACAATTACATATGTAACCTATTCTTGACCATAGAGAAGAAGGGATTCCATATTTGCTTAATCAATGTTGAAAACTAGCTACTGTTGCTTTCAATTCAGCTGTCATATGTTTTTAATTTCATTTCTGGTAAAGAATCTGTCTGAATTAAAGCATTTCCATAGGGAAACCAAGACCTGCCTTGGTAAATGGTAATAGAACAGCCATTTCAGGAGCTTAGGCATTTATTGTTGAGGCACTTTCACGATGTGTTCTTGCAGAAAACATCATTAATCTGGGTTATGTATATTTAGTTGTGTGCATATGAATTTGAATATGAATGTGTAGGATTTCATCAAATACAGATTCTGTTCTTGAAATCACAAATTTAAAATATCCCTTTGTTCCTGAATACTGATCCAAGTGTACAACATTTGCAGCAGGAGGTATCACCCCGCACTTCAGGGAGGCTGTCCCATAGCAGTGGTCGTCTCACTGATAGCCCACCAGTCTCTCCTTCTGAAATGGATGATCCTAAGGTCCCCAAAAACTCTCATTTTCACTATTTCTTTCTCTAAAACTTATCTTGTTGGTTGATCTTCTGTTTCTTGGAGTGTTCTTTTTTTAAATTACTCTCTGAAATTTCTTGGTTTATACAATCTTTTGTGCTTTGATGATGTTGATCTCTGTTTTGACACAAAGCACAAGAGAGAGAGAGAGAGAGAGGGCATATCACAGCTTTCACTCTAACCAAAAACATCCTCAGAGTAAATATGTTAGCAGAGTACAACATCATTGATTCCTTCCTTCTCCTTCACACACTCTTTTATTACTACTATTATATTTTATTATTACATTACATCTTCTGTCTTCCCTCTCTTTGTTTAATGTTGTTTCTTTCATCAGAAACTTGTAAGAAATGGAATGTCTATCTTAACTCTCTGCAATGTACACTCTAATCCGAAGCATATTTTTGTCCCTTTGAGGAAAAATTGTCGGTCACTTCTCAATTCTATGGCCCCAGCCTAAGACATACAAATATATTATGTAATAACACTTGCAAATGGTCCTTCTTTCACCTGTCACACCTCATCTCTCTCTCTCTCTCTCTCTCTCTCTCTAACTCCTCTTTGGTAGAAAAAATAATTGCAGAGTTATGGGGACATCTACATCTACTCTTCTTTCTTATTTGATTTCCATTACATAAGTGTTGAAAACTTGTCCCGTCATTTGTGGGCTCATTGGGAATTTATGAAGGAATGGGTACCTTCCATTTTAGTCTGTGGCTCCCTTTGTCTTTCGATTTCGGGCCCTGTTTTTCGAGACACGAAATAGCTGGTCCAGTTTTCCGGTGGGGTCGCATTAATTGATTCGAATTGGTAGGGATGGTTCGGTGCCGGGCTTACGCGTGTTCTTGGATTGGTTTTCGATAATTACGAATTTTTTTAGATTTGATTGTGTTGTTTATGTCTGCAGTTTTTCCGGCTGAATGTTCCGGCGAGTGGTCAGTACAAGGGGTGTGTTTCCGGCGGTGGTGCCGCCGCGAACGGCGGCGGGAAGACGGTGGGGAGATGGTTGAAGGACCGGAGGGAGAAGAAGAAAGAGGAGATGAGGGTGCAGAATGCACAGCTTCATGCCGCCGTATCGGTTGCGGGAGTCGCGTCGGCGATCGCTGCGATTGCCGCCGCTACTGCGGCGGCATCGGGACCTGGGAAAGACGAGCAAATGGCGAAAACAGATATGGCCGTGGCGTCTGCGGCGACGTTGATCGCTGCGCAGTGCGTCGAAGCGGCCGAGGCGTTGGGGGCCGAGCGCGAGCACTTGGCTTCCATCGTGAGCTCCGCCGTCAACGTTCGATCGGCCGGCGACATTATGACTCTCACCGCTGCCGCAGCCACCGGTAACGACTTGAGATTTAATCGGCAATTCATTTATTTGTGATTCAATTTTGAATTCGAAATTATTGTCGCAGCTTTGCGCGGCGCGGCGACGTTGAAGGCGAGGACGTTGAAGGACATGTGGAACATCGCGTCGGTAATCCCGATCGAGAAAGGGACGACGGCTGCCGGGAGCAAAGAAAGTTCGAACAGCAGTTTTAGCGGCGAACTCGTCGTACCCGAAGAGAATTTCCTCGGAATTTGTAGTCGTGAGCTGCTCGCCCGAGGCTGCGAGCTTTTAAAGAAAACTCGCAAAGGTAAAATTCAATTATTCGTCGCAAATTCCATCGAAAAAATCAATCTTTCTCGATTCAAATACATATATACATTCATATATATATTGTTATGATGCAGGTGATCTTCACTGGAAAATAGTGTCTGTTTACATCAACAAGATGGGTCAGGTAAAAAGCTTTTCTACTCCATAATCAAATATCGACGTTGCGATTTTTACGAGCAATATTTCGAAAATCATTTCGACTCAAATCCCAAAGAAAAGTTAAAGCTATGGTAAAAGATTCCACAATCCGAATCCGCCTTTCGCTTTATCCGTAAATTCTTTTCGCATAACGTAACAGGTGATCCTGAAGATGAAGAGCAGACATGTCGCCGGGACCGTGACGAAAAAGAAAAAGAGTAAGCATCTCTTTTCTTTTATGTTCTTTTCTTCACTTTCACATCTTTTCATCTCATGATGAGGCCAGAATTTGAGGCTATGGTAGCTTTTCTTCCATTTAGGGATTTGCGAAAAAAGAAAAAGTATTACGCTTTCTCGACTACGACCCGATGCTTTTTTTATCGTGTAATCTTTTATTACATAACTTACCATTACACTACAATTCGAACTTGCAGATGTTGTTCTTGAGGTGATGAGTGACATCCCGGCCTGGCCGGGGCGGCACCTTCTGGAAGGCGGCGACCACCGGAGATACTTTGCGCTGAAGACCGTGTCGCGGGGGATCGTCGAATTCGAGTGTAGGAATGAGAGGGAATATGATGTTTGGACACAAGGGGTGTCGAGGTTGATTACTATGGCTGCTGAGAGGAACAGCAACCGACATTTTCTTTGAAGCTAGCTATCAAGAAGTTGTACTAAAAAGGCCAAAATGTAATAAGGGAAGTATCGATGGTTTTAGTATTAGGACAGTTTATGTTGAACTAACTTTTTTGTTTTTTTTTTTTTTAATATTTAATTTTTCTAGTGGGGATTGGGTAAAGAATGGGGAGGAATTTGAAGAAGTTTTTCACATGGGGTGGGGTATTGGAAGTATTTTTTTTTGTGGTTTTGTTTGTTTTGTGTGGTCAAAAAAGGAATGGGAGAATCCCTGTTGTGGCTTGGGAAAGTATTGGTAGTTTATCAATGGTGGGGCTTGGATTTTATTTATGTATATATATATATATATGCTTTCTTAATTTGGTATTGGGTAATTAATTAAGTTTTTTTATTTTGGTGTTTAATTAGTAATTAGGAGTTTGTTGGTGTATAATTATACAATGATCTGTTTGGTGTGATTATGACATTCTGTGCCCTATTTGTTTGATTGTATTATAATTACCTTTTTGGATTATTGCTCATTTACATTTTATTGTGCCTAAGGATGGCAATTAGAAGGAGCCTAACTCACCCATAGTGGGGTGGGTTCAAACAGGGGTGAGAAAAAATACAGAATCCGAATCAAGCTGAATCAAATCGAATTTTTGGAGCCTAACTCACCCATAGTGGGGTGGGTTCAAATAGGGGTGAGCAAAAATACAGAATTGAACCGCCGAATCAAGCTGAATCAAATCGAATTTTTGATTCATTGAGCAAATTCGGTTCGAATACAAATACCGTATATTTGATATTTGTTCTGTTTTATTCATTTTTGATTTTTTTTTCGGCTCGGTTAACCGAACCAAATATATTTGTATATTTATATTATTATATTTAAAATTTTATATTAATAATTATATTCGGTTCGATTTCGATTCGGTTTTGGTTCGGATATTTGAAATATTTTTATTTAATTAGAATTTTAATTATTTTTTAATATATATATTTTTTAATTTTGGTTCGATTCGAATTATTTGCAAATATTTTCGGTTAACCGAAACTTTCGGTTCGAATTATGCTCGCTGTTTCGGGTATTTGTTCGGTTCGATTCGGATATCAAATATCTGCATATTTGCAAGTATCCGAACCGTGCCCACCCTTGGGTTCGGATAAACGTGGAAAACTTACCCAATCTTTAACTCGCGAATTTCATTTATGCAGTTTTAATTTCAAATATACAATTGCTATAGTGTTTTTATTTCAATTCACAACTTTATTTTTTACTCCAATATGAATATTCTCCAAATATGATATTTTATACTCCATCCGTCCACCGTCAATCTATCCATTTTGCCATTTTAGTATGTCAATCGCAAATGTATCCATTTCATTTTTTTAGTAAATGTACCTTCCACTAAAATATAAAATTTCCCACCCTTTATATAATATTACACAAATGTCATCAAATAACACCACTTAATACCATAAATGTTAAGGAGTATAATAGTCTTTATGTATATCAATTGTACCACATATCAATATAATACTAATATACTAAAATCTATATGCAAAAAGTAAACAGATAGATAGGCGGTGGACGGAGGAAGTATATTATTTTAAACAACTATTTATATTTACAATTCACACTCAACTTTTATTACTATTTACATGTTGATTTGTTTATTTTAGCATATTCATCGATTACATCTGTTGCTATACCATATGTTAACATGCAAAATACAACGGTTGCTTTTTGATAAGACGACAATTCAGAACGACCAAGTCCATCACCTTGTTGTTAAAAATGCGAATCACATTGTTTAGCTGCATAAACAATACAAAGTGACAAACTTCGAGATATTTGAAAACAGTGATGAAAGATTTGTTTATCAAATAGTGGATTAGATACAAAGTAATCATTAAATATATTACAAATAGCTTCTTCACGATTACGATTAACAACTCTGTGACTTGGAATAGACCGACAACGAGTCGGTTGTTGTGTATCGAGAAGACGTTTGAGACAAGTATTACTTTGTTCAATAAGTGAGGTGGCTAGCTTCATATATTTCTGGGTATTTGCTGAGATGTATTGGCCTATTTCGTCATCTTCTGATGAAGATGATGAAGAAAAAATTTCAACTATTACATTCGAAAACTCTCCCATGTTGAAATTTATTTTTACAATAGATTAAATATTTGGATATTCGATTGGAAAATGTAAATGTAACTTATGTCAAAATTTATAGAAGATGGATTATGATAGGTTTGTAAAATGGTAGGTGAAGGATAAGTTTGTAGAATGGTAGGTGAGGGCTCGTGCTCTATGGTAGGTTTCAGAAACGATAGGTAAGTGGTTATAAATAGTGATTTTTGCTTTACACTTCATACACCGCTCATTTATGTAAATTCAACAGAAAAAAATATCTTCTAAATGCTTTGTTGGATTTTCCCATGCTAAAGATCAATTGATTGTTGAGAAATTTTTCAAAATTCAATTACAGACACCGATCAATCATGTGGTATGTAGTTTTCGATCCGTACAAATTCGGATGAAAAAAACTATAAAAAGAAGTTAACAATTTCTTGCATGCTAAAGAAAGTAGAAAATTTGCATCACGTTCGTGCGTCAGAATTAGATATAGTAAGCATCTCTTTAATTTATATTATTCTAAAATTTTCATAATTTTATTATACCAAACTATAATTTTATATTTTTTTTAGCTGCGGGATGTCATACAATTGTTTAAAATAAAACTGATTTTAAATGTGATCATGGTTATGATTTTTTAAAAAATTTTAAAAAATTTAAAGATCACAATATGTACGTGTCCGATTAAAAAGTTCCACAAAAACACAATGCAACTCATGTTTGGTCGTCATCTGAACATACAACTAGAAATTTTCATGTATTATCTTTATTTTTTATTCATTTAGATGATAAAAGTCAAAATAATTTCTTTTTTAACGTTACATATGCCATTTTTAACCCACACCCCACAGTAACATCATTATATACAAATGCAATTTGTACATCACACCTATATATATATATATAATAATAATAATAATAAGCACATATGTATTGTATACTTAGTAAAATTGTGTTTTTTTTTTTTTTAAAAAAAAAAAACAGTTTTAAAAACATCATTTAAAAAAATCAACAAAAAAGTATATTGAATAAATAATACTCCCTCCGTCCCAAAAGAGACATCTTATTGGGTGTTGACACGTAAATTAAGGAATAATAGTATTTAATTGAAAGTGAGTATAAAGTATAATGTAAAAGATTAACATGCTCTTGCTTTTTGAAGAATTTTAAAAAATAGGTTACAGTAGTTTGGAAAAGTAGGAATAATTTTGTTATAAAGTGGGGACCACAATTACTAAATAAGAAAATGAGACAATTGTTTTAGAACAAACAAAAATAAAAAAACAAGACAACTCTTTTGGGACGGAAGAAGTAACAACTAAATAAAGTAGATTGAAGAAAAAAAAATATAACCTAAATAAGTATAAAACAAAAATATAATCGTGATGTCATGGATTCAAACTTTGAAACACCTCCAATCTTTTCTGTCACACATGGTTCGCCTACAAAAATATAGTTTGTAGGCTATTAGGTTCGACAAAAAAAAAATCACATACAATACAATAATAAAATGAGTAGAATCATTTTTTTTTATTTTTTTATGGTAAGAGAAAATGTGACAACAATTCAAAAAGTAACAAGAATAATAATAAAAAAAATACGTGGAGTTTATAAACAAAATTACATAGTTAATGCAAAATCAGTACAATCATTAAAATTAGTGAAGTTATTTATGTTTAAATGCTATGCAAGCTCATTCAATACAATATTTTATACTCCCTTCGTCCCAAAATTATAGTTTGAGTTATATTTGACAAAGAATTTAAGAAATATTGATATTATATTGATAGTGGGTAAAAAGTATGAATAAAAAACTTTTTTGTCTTTGTGAGTGTATTAATGTAAAAAGTAGTAACAATTGTGTAATAATAACGAAAAAGTAAGGGTAGTTTTATAGTGATATGGTTATTTATGGAAATGAGACTATTGTTTTGGGACGAACAAAAATAGTAAATAAGATATTTAAATATAATCCTAATTGAATCTTGACATTTTATAGTATTCCTGTCTCAATTTCATCCAAAAATTTCTTCGAGAATTCTTGTACTTTTTTCGTCCGTTTCTAAGATCTCATTTACTTTTTCCATTATTATATTTAATATTAAAAATATCATTATATTTGTATAATCTTTTACAGAAATATCATTATAACAGTATTATAAGACACTAATAGAAGTATTTTTGTCATTTCTCTTAATTTGTACTGCGCTTTTCATATAATAATTAATATATAAAGATCAACACGTAAAAAGTAAATAAAACCTTAGAGCCGAACAAAAATAATATTATTTCTACACTTTCAAAAAAAATGACACTATTCATGTTAGCAACTTTTAGCACTATTTATTAATATTAATATTTTTTTATAATAAAAAATAAAAATATTATATCAAAATTATATATTTTATTTAAAATATCATATAAATACAGTACATAATATTATATTCTAGTACTTATTTAAATCACATTAAATATTTATTTTAATTTTTTTTCAAAATTTAGGGATGTAAAGATTTGAAATTCTATCTGATTTGAATTTTGATACAAAATTTTACTCTATTATTGGGCCAATGCCCAATTTGAGACCCATTATATGGCCCACTTGAAATTTTTCTATAGATTCACTATTTAAGTTAAATGTAGGATGTATTTTTTTGTCTTTTTTTTTTAAAAAAAAAAATTAAAATAAAATTACGGCTATTTGTACCCATTTCAATAAAAATATAATTTATCTTAAATAAAATTATTTTATTTCTCCATGCTCATTTCTTGTTTATTAATACTTCTATTTCGAAATATCCCAAAAGGATTTATTGGATTTGTTTGCTCAATCCAAATTTTGACAAAGATTTTTAATTTATATAATATATATATAAAATACTCTATCAAAATAATAGTCTCGTTTTCATAAATAATACATTCACAAGGATAAAAGAATTTTTTATCCGTATATTTTATCCATTACTTATATAATATCAAAATTCACTCAACCGGACTATAATTCTGGTAAGAAGGAGAGTCTATATAAATATTAAAAAGGTAAGAAAACAAAAAATAAAAATAAAAATCTAATGGACTGAGAAAAATATCTAATCGAAATCATTGAAGAGAATGAGAGTGAAGTGGGGCTTTAATGGCCACAAAAAAAAAAATATCAAACACTTTTGATATATTATCCAATTCTTTGCAGTGAAAAAACGAAACCAGCTTCCTTCGAAAGCAATTAAGCTTCAAATTGGGGTTTTTTTAAAAAAACATTTCTTACCTACTAATAAATTAATTAATCAAGGCATGGATTCCTCAACAACTGCTGTGCCTGTGATGATGAATTCTTCATCTTCTTCTTCTTCGATAGATGAAGTGTTTAATTGTGGAAAGTACTCTGCGAATCTGAATCTGGTGAAGGTTGATTCTTCCGATCCGCCGCGGCCGCTGCTGATTTGGTCTCCGGCGGCCGCCGGCGAGTTTCCGGTGGTGATATTCCTCCATGGTTACCTGCTCCAGAATTCGTTCTATACTCAGCTCCTTCGACACATCTCTTCCCATGGCTTCGTCGTCGTTGCGCCGCAGGTTTGTTATTTCTGGTATTTTTATTTATTTATGTTTTAAATATGTAGTTATACTCCCTCCAAAACTATAATTTAGGTTATATTTGACAAGACTAAAAAAATATGAATAAAAGACTTTTTTGTCCTTGTGGATCTATTAATAATTTTATAGTCATATGATTATTTATGAAAATAAGACTATTGTTTTGGGACGAACAAAAATGGTAAACAAGACTATTGTATTGGGACGGAGGGAGTATTATATTTTCATCCTAATTTAATGGTTAAAAAGTGTACCAATAAAAATAATACAGTAACAGTATTTTTCTGTTCGCCTCCAATTGTCACATTTACCTTTTGCGTCATTGTACTTAACATTAAAAATATTTTTATATTTGTATAATTTTTTTTGTGTAAATATCATTCTGTTAGTATTATAGGGCATTAAAGGAAATATCTTTGCAACTTTTTCTTAATTTATATTACGTTTTGATATAATAATTAGTATTCAAATATTAACACGCAAAAAGTAAATCAAACCCTTAGAGCCGAACGAAAATAGTGTAATAGAAGTAATTATATACTAATATTAAGATAATACCGGAATTTAATTAAGATTAATAAAATTAAAGATTATAAAATTAAAAATATGATTAAATTGTCGAGTCACTTTTCCGAGAAAGAAAAAGATATTATGGGTGTATTTGTTTGAAGGATTTTGGTGAACTTCTACTATTTATCCCAATTTTCCTCCTAAAAAATATCAAATCAAACATTTATTTTTTATTTTTTATATTATGCTAAAAATTAATTTTACATTTAAAACATCACATCAACCCCTATTTATATCACATTATATAACTATTCAAATTCAAAATTTTTACTATTCAAATCCCAATTCAAAATTCAAACCCCCAAACAAACAAACAAACCCTATATGGACAGTCGAAATTAAAAAAATGAACACAAAGACCTGTTCACCCAACGTCTTTAAATGAATTAATTTTAGTATGTGATATCGGAGAATTGTGTAAAAAATATAAGATACTCCATCCGTCCACTTACAATGTTTACATTTACTAGAAATAATAATATTTTAATTATAGTGACTAGTTAAAAGTAGTATAATGACATTTTTGTCCTTACTTTTTTTTGTGTAAAAGTAATTATGTGATGTAAATTAAGGGTATTTGTGAAAAAAAGTAGGGTATTTAATAAAATGTTAACTTTGTAATTGAACGTTTCAAAATAAAAATATGTAAACATTGTAAGTGGACGAATGTAGTATTATTTTAAGTTGAATATTTAACTTTTTTACTTACAACTAGTGTTTAATTTATTTATTTATTTTTTTGACTTTTATAAAATATCCTTTGTATTGTTTATTATTATTTTTAGGAAATCGCAATTAAAAAATAGTATCGGATGAACAAAACTTAATATGAACGAACAGAGCAATATTTTATAGATTCTTTTTTATTATAATACTTCTATAAAATAAACATTTTTGAACAATCCATAAGAAAATATTAAAAATGGTAATTGAATTAGGATAGGAAAAGTATTTAATATTACAATTATTAACAAATATATTTAAATTATTTATATATTTAATATATACAAAATTTTATCTCACATCATTAATGAACTTATCTATTTATCAAAATATTTTTATATTATTTCATAATAAATTAATAAAATAATTATAAAATTATAAAATAAATATTTTTAAATAAGACTTAGAAAATAGTCTTCGTTCAGCTTTAAAGGTTTCGTTTATTTTTTAAGTTTTGATTTTTGAGTATTAATTATTATATTAAAATGTATTACAAAATTAATAAAAATTACAAAAATATTTTCATCAGTATCTTATAAACACTTGATACTTAGCTTAATGATCAAAATGATGATAAATGACATACTACTTCCGACTCATAAGAAAAGTATCATTTATTTTTTATGCCATTGTTTTTAACATTAAAATTATCTTTATATTTGTATAATTTACTTCATAAATATCATTGTAATTGTATTATAAAGGACTGATAAGAATATATATATATTTTGGTATTGATTTGTATTAAGTATTAATATAATAAATAATAGAGTATTTAAAAATCTAAATGAAAAAGGCCAATGATATTCTTCTTTTAGAAAGGAAGTATCGTATAAGACTAAAATATGTGTGTTTATAATTATATATGGTATAGTGTAAAATTATTGAAATTTGAATTTATTTGGTTTTGATTTAAAATTAAGTATTTGGTTTGAATTTTAATTTAAATAATATTTTGATATAATATTTTATAACATAAAATATTATAAAATATTATATTTTTTTTTGGAAAACCAAATTACCAAACACAGCCATAAGCTCTGCTATTTTTGAAATATTTTTCATATTCATCATATAATTCTCGCATTTTTCCATAAAATTACATTTGAGTTTTTTTTACTATATCATATTAAATTACAATTTAAATTAAAAAATATATATAAGTGCAAACCAAATAATTGCTATAAAATGTTCTTACTTCTTTTATACATATTTTTGGCTTGTATGGTTCTAAATAAAACATACTTTTGTTCAGTTATATTCAGTGGCCGGACCAAATGCGAACCAAGACATCTCAGCCACAGCCGAGATAATCGAATGGCTATCCGAAAACTTATGCAACTATCTACCGGAAAATGTCCGGCCGAACTTGAAGAAGTTGGTGTTAGCCGGGCATAGCCGCGGCGGGAAAGTTGCATTCGCTTTGGCGCTAGGAAAGTCACTTTCATCCCCGATCAAATTCTCGGCCCTAATAGGGGTCGATCCGGTCGATGGTATGGATAAAGGGCAACAAACTCCTCCCGCGGTCCTCACTTACGCCCCAAATTCAATGGATCTTAACGGCGCCCCCGTATTGGTGATCGGTTCTGGATTGGGGGATGTGCGCAAAAATCCTTTTTTTCCACCCTGCGCCCCTAGAGGGGTGAATCACAAGGACTTTTACAATGAATGTTGCAAACCGGCGCACTATTTTGTGGCCAAAGATTGCGGGCATTTGGACGTGCTGGATGACGAGACTAGAGGGTTTCGAGGGAGGGCGACGTATTGTTTGTGCAAAAATGGGGAGTCGAGGAAGCCGATGAGGAGATTTGTTGGAGGGGTCGTGGTGGCATTTTTGAGAGCGTATTTGGAAGGCGACGAGGAATCTCTTGTGGCCATAAGGCGAGGGTATGCGAAGCTTCCCGTTGTGCTTCAAGCCGTCGATTCCAGAGTTTAGTATGAACGACTTTTTTCTTCTGTGTTTTTAAGGTAAAAATAATGGGTATGTTTTTTTGCAAAATTTCCCCAAATTTTACTATTTAGACTCTGTGTTTTTCCAAAAAAAATACATTTTTTTCTCTCACAAAATATCAAATTAAATATTATTTTTATATCAAATTTAAATCAAATTTTTTCCAAACTCATAAAAAAGAAACGCACCCAATTTATGCTTTACGATTATACTTGTTTTGTTAGATTATTACATTCAAACATATATTATTATTATTATTATTACTCCCTCCGTCTCATAACAAAGTATCCATTTTTTCATTTTAATCCGTCCCATAACAAAGTATCAATTTTTTTGTTTTAGTTCATCTCATAACAAAATATCAATTTTTTTTTTTTAGTAATTGTACTATCTACCTAACATTACAAATATCCTTACAACTTGCAATATATTACACAAATGTTATTACTTTATATCACACATACTAATAAGGTTATTTTAGTTATTTCTACTTTATTCATACTATATTCCAATATAATACTAATATTTCTAAAATTACGTGCAAAAAGCAAATGAATATTTAATTTCGGGACGGATGAAGTATTATTATTATTATTATTGTTTTCTAATATGAAACTTGTTATTGCTATTTTTTATAATTTGTATGGTTAAATATTAGGTCAAACTTAATATCTGCAAATTATACCTGTACAATATGAAATACTAAGTAAGCCACGTGGAGGTAAAACCTAGATGATGTCGATAGGTTTTGAATACATATTAATTTTGATCTTATGAATTATTCTAGCTTTTATTTTGAGACAAAATTAAAATGTGTGTTTTTTTTTTTCAAACTCAAATTAATTATTATTGATTTTTTTATACTATTTTTAATAAAAATATACTTTCTTAGTCACTTAACAAATTATTTATTTTTCTATTTTGGTCTGTTCCATAACAAAATATTTTTTTTTTTTAGTAACTGTACTATTTACTTAACATTATAAATACACTTACAATTTACAATATATGACACAAATGTCTTTACTTTTATACTCTCTCCGTCCCATAAATATAGTTTTAATTGGGTTGGACACGAGATTTAAGGAATATTGGTATTATATTGGTAGTTAGTAAAAAGTATGGATAAAAGATTTTTTTTACTCTTGTGAGTGTATTAGTATACAAAGTAGTGACAATTGTGTAATAAAAATGAAAAAGTAGAGGTAATTTGATGATGATATGATTATTTATGAAAATAAGACTATTATTTTAGAAAGGACAAAAATGGTAAATAAAAAAATTGTATTGGGACGGATGGAGTATTATACAATACTAATATTAATAAAATTATTTTAGTGATTTTTATCGTATTCCTATTACGTATCAATATAATACTAATATACTTTAAACTCCGTGCAAAAAAAAAATAGAAACCTATTTGAGGGACGAAAAGAGTATTATTTTATCTTACAAAATATCATATTAAAACAATATTTAAATTAAATTTTCTAGACATCTCAAAACAAAATCAAATAAATCCTAATTTTTACAAAACTCCAAAATTTAAAAAAATTATATTTAATAGGAGCCCTATAATTCAATTTAATCTTTTGGTTTGAAGTTAACAATCTAATTGTTTAACTTTGCAAAAAAATATTCCCTCTCTCCACAAACTAATGTCCTATTTTCTTATTTGGGACATTCAACAATTATTGTCCTATTTTATTTTTTAAACACAAATTTTACATTTTTACTTTTAATTTATTTATTACTTTTAATCTATACCATACAATTAAGGGCAAATTTGTCAATTCATAACAAAAAGACAATCAACTAAAAAACCATGCAAATATACTTTAGGACAATAGAAATTGAACGAAGAGAGTAGTTTAATTCAATTTAGCACGGTATTGATTAAATTATAACCGTAATTATATAAGATGGTCCACCTATAACATAATAGATTTGTAATTTTATTTTACTTAAATAAATTACATTGGCGCTAACACCCTTGAAGAATTGTATTGTTCAAGACGTCCGTACCGAATGGCCCGGTGGTGTAGAGGTTGAACTTGTGACCGTGAGGTCATGGGTTCAAACCCCTGACGCCTTAGATCACCTGCACTTTCGGATAGCGACGGTAGATTTTCGCGTCATAAAAAAAAAAATGTATTGTTCGACACCATTTTTTATATCTCATAAAAAATCACTAAATAAGAAAACCCTAAGTTTAAATTTAAATTCAAATAATACTCATTTATGAAATTTAAATTTAAATCACTGAGAATAGTAGTAATTTTAGCTTGACATCAAAATCAAACACATTTAACAAGTTTTGAGAAATTTTAAAAATAATAATCAAACACATTTAAAAAGTTTTGAGAAATTTTAAAATAATATTTACTTTAATATTTTACATATATATATATATATATTTAATATGATATCCCAGGGTAAGTGACTTTTACAATTTTCACAAGATGGATTTGAAAATCCATGGAAATTTGATTGGGGAAAAACTAAAAATATGTCAAGTCATATATCACTTCAAATAATACTCCCTCCGTTTTTTTATGAGGAATGAACTATTTTATCAGGAACACAGTCTTTTTAGTAGTGTAAATTAGTAAGTTATTAATAATAAATTATGATATTAATTTATTATTTTTTAAAAAAATTAAGATTATATTTCGAAAAAATATACGCAATATAGATATCATTTGGTAGATAATAAAATTTTATAAAAAATGAAGAGTTTTAAATATAAATAAAAAATTATGTTAATTGAGGAGATAGATAAAAATAAAAGAGTTTTGAGTGGATTTTACGGGTAAAATATTATAAGTTTAACTATTTGAAAATTTTGTGGTTTTTTTCTCATGCTCTAAAATTCAAACTGACAAACCTAACCTAAGCTAGCTATATAGCTACATCATGCATGTCCCCTCCCACTCTTGTCTCTATCAATATTTTGGAAATGGTTATTGATTTAGACTAATTTTTATTTACTTTTTAAATTAGCATATACCCGTCCCATAATTATAGTTTGAGTTGTGTTTGACACGAGATTTAAAGAATATTGATATTATATTGATAATAGGTAAAATATACAGGTAAAAAACTTTTTTGCCCCTGTGAGTGTATTAATGTAAAAAGTAGTGACAATTGTGTAATAATTTAGAAAAAGTAAGGATAATTTTTTAGTGATATGATTATTTATGAAAATAAAACTATTGTTTTAGAATAGACAAAAATGGTAAACAATCTAAATAATCTATTCTTTGTTAAACGATCTAAATAATCGTTTTAGTTAAAAAAAATTTTGTTTGAATCTTGAATTATATTAGTATCATGTAATGTCGGTTAATGCATTCAACATTACATTGTGTTCATCTAAATGATTTTTTATTGATATAATTCTCAATTGACATTAGAATATAATATAAGCATATTTTCACATAATATATATTATATTTTTTTTTCATAAAAATTAAAAATTAAAAATTTAAAATAAATATATCATTTATATTTATATAATACAAATATAATACATGAACTAACAACGCACGAGTTTTTTTGACTGTGGTTTGAAATTGATTTAAAATAAGATGTTGATTTGAATTTTTGTTTAAACAATATGTAATATTTTATGAAAAAAAAAATAATTTTTATTAAAAATGATGTCAAATAAATAATGTTAATTTTTATTTGAAATAGTAAAAAAAAAAAAAAATCAGATATAATGTCATATAACAAATGAAATAATTAACTTTAGCGCATAATATATTTATGTCGAGTTAAAAAAATATATATACTCCCTAGGTCTCTTAACTAGGTATACATTTGCTTTTTCATATAATTTTAGAAATATTAATATTATATTAAAATATAGTAGAAATAAAGTAGAAATGACTAAAATAATTTTATTAGTATATAATATGATATAAAAGTAATGATATTTGTGTAATATATTGTAAATTGTAAAGATATTTGTAATGTTAGGTAGATAGTCCAATTACTAAAAAAAAATAAATACTTTGTCATAAGACAAATTAAAATAAAAAAATAATACTTTGTTATGCGTCCGTCGAGGGGGAAGTAATTAATTTCCATTACATTTGCATTAAAAGAAGTTACATACTTAATTGCAACTACTACTTTCATTCTGTCCCATGTATATATATCAGAACACCAGCATTTATAATTGTTCCTTTTTAACTTTGATTATTATTATTATTATTATTATTATTATTTTTTAATAATTTATTAAAAACTATATTTTTATTAGTGTTATTTTATATATTTCCTCCGTTCCATAACAAAGTATCTATTTTTTTATTTTAATTCGTCTCATAACAAAGTATTGATTTTTTTTTTTAATAACTGTACTATATACCTAACATTACAAATACTCTTACAACTTACAATATATTACATAAATGTCATTATCTTTATATCATATCATACTAATAAAATTATTTTAGTTATTTATATTTTATTAATACTATATCTTAATATAATATTAATATTTCTAAAATTACGTATAAAAAATAAATGGATACCTTATAATATATGTTGGACGGAGTGATTAGATAAAACATAATCCAAACAGAGTCCAAAAACAGCTTACATTCCCAATACACGAAAACAAGAGGAAATGAAGACATAAATAATTTGGGAGTAGTAAACAAATTAAATAGCCCCAGATCAGAAATCTATGCAAATTAATTATAAGAAATTGAGCAAATTCCAAAACCCTGTTTAATAAATAGATACTCCTTCCGTCCCATGTAATATGGGTGTATTATCGTAGATACGAGAATTTAAGTAAAGTATAATTAATAAGTAATTAAGAAGTATATTAGTAAAAATAATTATAGATTAAGATTAAGATAAGTAAATAGTTTAATTAAAATTAAGAAAATTATAAAATTTAAAATATAATTAAAGTGCATAGTTATATTTCCAAAAATATAAAGGACAAGTTATCTGGGACGGACGAAAATAGAAAATAGGAACAAATTATATGGGACGAAGGGAGTAAAATTATTATCTCCGTTCAAAATTAATTAATTTATTATGCTTATTTTTTTCAAAAGTCTATTTGAAATTAATATTATATTCTTTTCATTTTATTAAACTACAAAAGAAACTCATATTCAAAGATACAATTGTACAAAGAAAAATTTATGTACAAAAAATAAATAAATATATTGATTTCTTAAGAAAGTATTATGGTTCTTATTTGTTTGAAGATAATATAAATACTTCATATTTAAAATGAATAATAGGTTAGTGTGACATAGAATAAGCATTAAATACGATACTTCGAAATTAAATTATATTCAAAATATAAATTAAAACTGGGTGAGTTTGTTTTGGGGATTGGATTTTAAATATACTATTAATCTCATTTTATTTTTTCTAAAAATATAAAATCAAACACTTATTTTTTATTTTTTATATTATACTAAAAATCAATTTTACATTCAAAACATCACATCAACATCTATTTATATCACATCATACAATTATTCAAATTCAAACTTTTTACTACTCAAATCTCAACTCAAAATCTAAACCCCAAACAAACACACCCTAAAATAGTATAGCACAATTTTAAAATAATAGAGCATTTCGTAGAATTTTCTTAAATCACAGGTAAATTTTATGTTATTTTGCTTTTCTTTTATTGCAAAAAAATTAATATAGGGGAGAAACTCCGATATACATGTTCTTAGGCCATCTCCAACTCATTACTCCATTTTTGCAGCAACTACAGTAAAAATACAATCGATCTAAAATAATTTTACTTCAACCATAAATATTAATTCACTCTTAAAAAGTATATTATTTGTTTCTTTCTCTTTTATATTATTTTACATAACTTTTCATATTTGTAAATTACTTAACAACTTTAATTATATATTACTTTTTAAAAAATAAAATTATATATCACTTTTAAAAGAACACAATTATTTGGGGTTGGATTGGAATCCAAACACAATATTAATTTTATTTTTTAATAGATATATACTTAGTTATATATTATAGATACTTTCACATTTATATTTATTTATATCAACTTTATAGGGTAAACATATAGTAATAAAATTATTGTTAAAATATAATATTTATTAGATTTTATGACAGAAGTAAAAAGTTTCTTTCTAAGTGGATGAATAAAGTATTTCTTTTGCAGAAAATTATAAAATATTATAGAATGATTTTCTTTTTTAATGACAATTTAAAGTAATATCTAAAAACGCATGGTATATTCTTAGGGTGCGTTTGTTCGGGGGTTTGGATTTTGAGGTAAAATTTGAATAATTGTATAATGCGATATAAATAGGTGTTGATATATATTTTAAATGTAAAATTGATTTTTAATATAATATAAAAAATAAAAAATAGATATTTTATTTGATGTTTTTGAAAAAAAAATAAAAATGAATAGTTGATTTAAATGAAACACTCAAACTAAAATAATGATAAAACTATTTATTTAGGGGGGTATATTCAATATAATTTTGTAGGATTTTATTGGACTTTCAAAATTTGGGTGTATTCAATCAAGACTTTAAAATCCTGAAGTATTTATAGACTTTTAAAAATATTTTAAAATCTTAAGATATTCAACAATTCATAAACTTTCAAAATCTATGGATTTTAATGGATTCTAATGGATTTTTGTGAAAATTTTGTATAGAAAAGAATCTTTTGTAATCATTACAGATTTTGATGGATTCTTAAAATTATTATTATTATTATTATTATTATTATTATTGTATATATGATCAATAATATGATAATATTTATTACTATTATTATAATTTTTAATTAAAATAATAATTTAAAACTAAAATATATTAGTAAATTATTATGATTTCATTTTAAATATATATTTTTATATTATAAATATAATTAAAAAAATATTATTATAATATTGTCGTCTTTTCTTTGCAATTATCGAATACACTATATTATCATTACGATAAAGGTGAAATAGATATTTAAATATATATTTTTTGTTGAACCGTTAATTTATATTTATTTATTCATTTTAATATTTTTTTCAAAAATTGTATATTATTTATTTATTTATTTTAATATAACCTTTTTATATAAAAAGTAAATACATATATATTATTTATTAATACTTATATATTATTTATTAATATTAAATATTATCTTATTAATAATTATTTATTATATTTATAAAGTTTGTTGTTTGATATAAATTTTATATAATTAATATATATTAAAAAATATATATTTTATAATCCTACAAAATCCATATAAATTCATAAAGAATTCAATCAAATTCGTAAAAATCCATCTAAATCAATTACTAAAATCCATTAAACTCATCGTAGATTTTGTGGATTTTCTAAATCCACATAAATACATAGACTTTTAAAAATCCAAAACAATCCATTGAAATTCCAATTGAATACACCCTCCTTAATCTTGTACATTACATCTTCATCATTTTAGAACTATAATTGACTCTCTGTTGAACTGATCTCCCGGATAAAAGAATTTTGTGAAAATGATCCTCCGGAGTTATTGACGTGGCCGTGTCGTGGTACACCAAAATTATTTGAATTTACACATAAAAGGTATTTGAGAATCATTTTAAGACCAAAACTAGAGTTTGTATTAATTGATCCTTTAACAAAAATGTTTTTAATAGAAATAATCCTTCACGTTGTTTATGTGACATCCAAACAAAATTTGGCGTGCCACAACATTACCATGTCAGCAACTTCAACAGCTAAGGACCATTTTTATTAAAAAAATTTTAATCGTAAGACTAATTCAATACATAGTCTAATTACGATTTTAAATTGATAAGAGAATCACGTATGAAAGTAAAAAAATAATTTACCTTGTTAAGATATTTTTATACATAAATTACTAAAATGCACTAAGTACCAATAAAACAAAAAATATAGCGGAGAGTAGGAGACTTTTTAGAAAATTTTAAAAGTAATAAAATATTAAATATTTGATGTGATATTTTGTAAAATATGATATATATATATATGTATTTATTGTGATATACATTTAACAATTTTTACCTGTCTCAAAAACAAATACTCCATTAGTCCCATAAATTATGGATAAAAAGACTTTTTTGCCCTTGTGAGTGTATTAGTGTAAAAAGTAGTGAAATGAAAAAGTAAGGATAGTTTTATGGTAATATAGTTATTTATGGAAATAAGACTATTATTTTTGGACGAAAAAATGGTAAACAAGACTATTGTATTGAGACATGTATATATATATCTCTCCAATAAAATTATTTTTCCATTAAATATTAGTATGTTTTAACTAAAATATTTTATTTCAATTTTTTTTTCCACCGAAAAAAAAAAAAAAAAATCAAACTCAAAACAATAAGCGGCAATAAATACATACTACTAAACATAAAAATTTCCCTAAACACACAATAAATTAATAAATTAAATAAAATGATTTAAAAATTTAATTTAGGCTAATAATTAATTAATTAAGGCAAGAAAAGGTTATTCCCACACTTGCATCTCCACGCCTCCGGGTAATACTCCATCGGCGAACTCTTCCCCGGCTGAATCGGCACGTGCACCGCCGTGCACGGCACGCACCTCCCGCACTTGAACCGGCACGCCGGCGGCCACGAACCCGGTTCGGCCCTCAACCGCCGCCGTGCGGCCGCCGTTGCTGTCCACGGAACAACACACGATCAGATCATCATCGTCATATATAGATATATATATATATATATATTGGCCGGAGTTGCAGATCGGGAAACTATGAATTAATTAATGATGGCTTGATGAGTCGGATAGAGTTTAATTTAAGGTTTTTGATGAGAGTTAAAAATGGTGGGAAATTAGGGTTTATTGGATTTGGGGGATTTTTTACTTACGAAATTGAGGAAATGGATTGAAGCTGAAGCCTAGAATCGACACCATTGATAGAAACAGAAGTAGCAGAAGAAGAAGAGAAGAAAGTCGTGGAGAAGGTCGGTGCAGTGCAGCCATGGCGGCAGACTGGGATTTCAGCGTGAAAGAAGAAGGATTGGTGCTTTTATATATATATATATATACATATGGCTAAATTGCACAAAATCTATTCGTGATTTCATGAAATTGCGCCAAATCTCTTGTAATTTTAAAATTGCATCAAATTCTCTCGTGTTTCATAAATTCTGCGTCTAATTCCCAGGCGGTTAACGTATTTGACCTATCTAAATGCGCTCAAACTGTTGTGAATAAATTTTAGAATTTTAATTTCTAAACCTCTAAAATTAAAAATATATTTATTTTTTTTATATTTAGTCTAAAAAATAGTAAATATACTAAAAAAGTAGTTATTTTTCTCAAATTTTAATAATTTATTTTATTATTTTTTTACGCTAAATATATAATTTTTTTTTTTAATTTTAGTGGTTTAGAAATTGAAATTGTAAAATTTATTCGAAGTTTGAGCGCATATAGGTCAAATACCGTTAAATAAGGACCGTCGAGGGAGTTAGACGCAAAGTTTATGAAACTCCGAGGGAGTTTGACGCAATTTTAGAAGTATGAGAGATTTTGCGCAATTTCGTAAAACTACATGTGAATTTTGTGTAATTTATCCTACATAATATATATAATACCTTTATACGGCAACGCTGTAATTATAAACAAACAGCAATGTCATTATTACAACATTCCCTCGCTCATATATCTTCTGCTCATATTATCGTTTAGTCGTCATATCTCATATCTTAATTTTTTAATTTTTAATTTTTAATTTTTTTATAACAGAAAATAATTACACATTTTAATTATATTTTAAATTTTATCATTCTATCATCCAAATATATATTTATTTTTTATTGTCATAAAAAAATTTAGTTTGCTTTTTTAAGTAAAAAATACTACCATTCTTTTTACTATAAAAAGAATAATTTTATATTTTACTTAATTGTTTTAAAATTTGTGTCCGATCAAATGTGCATAAATTTTGATGATTGAGGTAATATATATTCTTTTAATCTTAATTATACTAATTAATTCTATAATTTATAATTGTTTGTATATTATTTATAAATTTTTGTATCTATAGTATACAAGACATCATATGTTGGATGGTGAGGAGGGAGTAATATTTTCAATATAGGGAATCAATTATATGACTTCATTTAGACAATGACATGAAAATCCGCAATAGTTAAAATTTGAAATCATAACTTTATGATTACAAGTTCATTATTAAGTTATTATTTACTCGACTAAAGAGTTGATACTATTGCATGGATATAATATATACTTAACCAATGGCGGTAAAATGGTTTGTTTCTTTAGACCAATTTTTCCAAATTTTATTCTACGTTTCTAAAAAAAATATATTTTTTTTTTTCTTACAAAATATCACATAAAATATTATCTTAATACTAAAATTTCCCAAATTCAACCAAAAGAGACACCGTTGAGGGGATGAAGAGTTTATTGATGTTGAAAATTCAGATATTTAGGCTCTGTTTACTTGTAAGATTTTAACCATAATTTTACAATTTCAACTTTTTTTTTTCCTTAAAAAATATCAAATCAAACACTCAATTTTTATTTTTTTTATTACACTAAAATCAAATTTTACATTCAAAATATCACATCAATATATATTTATATCACATCAAACAACTATTTCAATTCAAAATTTTATTATTTAGAATCAAAACTCAAAACTAAAACCTCACCCGTAAACACACCATAGTCAACATAAAAAGGTTTACCTCCTATGTAATTTGTCACTCTACTTAACACAGGATTTTACATTACCTTTAAAATATGTCAATAATTAGTTTAAACATATTTAATTGAAAGTGTTTTATATTGTGTATTTATATTTTAATTTTTTTATTATTTGTAAAAGAATATTATATTTAAATTTCATTATATTTAAAATATTGTACTAAAAGTTTATGTATTTAAAGGTGTGTTTGTTTTATAAAACAGTTTAAAATGATTTATTTTAATGTGAGGGACAGAGAATCGTATAAATTATATAAAAATAATAAATATATATAGTATATTAATTTTTTTGGTAAAAATACATGTGTATTTTTGTGCAAAAGAATACACCCAGACTCTGTTAGAAGTTTTGAAAGTGTAGAATTTCGAAAATTTGAAATGTTAGAAGGTTGGATATTTTATACTCTAAAGTACTCATTTTCTATTTTAGAAAAAATAATATTATATTAATAGCAAATACCATTAGATTTTACCTAAATTACAAAGATTCTATTACACATACAATTACTATAAAGTCAAAAGATAAAAATCTCAAAATCTCTTACACAATTTAACTAACCAATCAAATACTATTATTTTTTAATGTACAATAAAATCCCAAAAGACCTTTGATAAGGGACAAATAAAGTATGGTATTTTGTGAGAAAAAAATAATTTGATGTGAAGTATTTTAATTTTTTTATTAATGAATAATTTCAAATTTTCAAAAATTATCTACTTAAAGAAACATTATAATAAAAGAATGTGCCCAAAATAAATTGGAGATAATTTTATTTTATACTTTATATAAATTATTAGTAAAAATTACCAAAAATACCACATATCCTCTTTGTTGTTTTTTGAGCTAGGTATACACCATTAGGCAATTTGTATGTATTTTAAATTATTTTTGAAATTAAAAAAAAAAATAAGTGTATGATCAGTTCTTTATTATTATTATTGTTATTATTTTAAATTGAAATCAACCCTATTATTTTATATAATTTTTAATAAAAATATATTTTTAAAAAATATCACATCAAAATAATATTTAAATAAAAATTAAGTCAACAATATTCTATTTCATATTAATTTTTAATTACAATAAAACAAGTAAGTGTGTTTTGGATTTGTAATTGATTTGCACTCCAAATTAGTATTTTTTTTTTTACTATTTATTTTATTCTTTTTGACAAAATGTGGAATCTGAATTTTATCACAAATTATTTAAATCATATTCAAATGAAAATTTTAATCCTAATACAAACTAAACAATTTATTTTATAATATATATTTCTTATCATTTAAAAAAAAATTGCATTAGTTTTTCTTTTGAAAATTTTTAGTTTGAACTTAGTATTAAAACAATGTACAATATTTTATAAGAGAAAAATTATATATATATTTTCAAAATAATATAGAAATTAGTAAAAATTTGAAATTTGATGACAAAGAAAAACACAAGTCTCAAATTTATTTATTTTTTTTTAAAAAAGAAAACATACATATTTTTAATTGGTTTTAATTATCATCTTTCAGAGACATTTTTTTTATGTCGATCATATAAAAAATAAGTATATATTAGTAAATAGTAACATATAATTATTAATCATTATAAAACAGATTCAATTACAATGCATTTTTTTTTTTTAACAATGTATATGTTTTTGTTTGTAAGATTGCATTTGATTTTATTATTTCAAAATTCATACTAAGTGAACTATGTGTAGCAAAAAAGATCTGAAAGCCTTAAAGATTTGAATTCATAATTTTACGGTCACGAATCCATCCTCGTAACACTATGTTATACTCTATTGGTATTATTTTTTAATTTTTGCATCCAAATAAAGTAACATAAAAAGTCCGGACAACACACACATAAATATATAGTACATATTTTCGCATATAATAATGAGATAATTTTATTTGTAATAATATATTTCCTTGGATGGAAAGTTTTTTTTTTTTTCCGTAATTTAGAGTTCTGTTTTTTTTCTTAAAAAAAAAATTTTAATATTATTTTTTTTATAAAAAAAAATTATATAGTTGATATAATAATTTTAAAAAGTACAATTAATAAATAATACAAAAACTTTTAAAAATCTATATATATAATACACTCTCTTTCATTCAAATATATTTTGAGGGTGTTTGGCAAAGAGCTTTTTGAAAAATTTTTAGGTTATTGAACAGCTTTTAACCAATCAAACAACAAATTTAGATGTTTGGTAAATTAATTTCTGGACCAAAAAAACTAATTTTTAAAAAGCTAACCTACTTAGCATGTTGAAATAGCTTTTTCAATTTAATTTTTTTTATTCCTTATTTGCCCTTAAAAATTAATTATGCATTATACACAAATAAATATATTTTGATTATTTATTGATTATATTAGAATATTTTATTATATTATAATTTTACTTTTATAAATTTAAAATAATTAGTTTTAATTTATAAATTATTTTAATTATAAAATATATAAATTTATTAAAATCAACACAAAATAGAAAATATAAATATTAATAATTTATTTTTATATTAAAATTACATTATATAAATTTTATACTAAAAATAAATTAAATAAATTAAATTTATTGAAAATTATAAATATAATGAAATAATCGATAATTAACATAATAAATATAAACAAAAAAATTATTATTTTATATTTTTTATTATTTTCAATAAAAAAAACTATTTATATTTTTCAATAAATATATATTATTTTTTAAATCTAACTATAATAAAAATAAATACTATTTTATAATATTTTTATAATTTTCAATAACTAATAACAAAAAATTTCATACATTCTAAAATCTAAAGAATACAATTGAATATATTAAAATAAATAGAAATGTCCTCAATTGTCATTTTACGTATAAAATCTAATATCAAACTGTTGTTTTTTACTAAACATTTTTATACAAACAGCTAATCGAATCGGCTAGTCAAATCACTACAAAAAAATAATATATTTGTAACGGAATTTCGTCCCTAAAATTCACGTAGCTAACGTAATTCCATTCATAATTCCGTCTCTAATGTCATTAGTAACGGAAAAAGTAAATTTAGAGACAAAAAAGTTTTATTATTAAAATAATTTTTTCTTGTAATGAATCAGCTAATTAAATTAATTAACAATTATCAACTAATTAAATCAGCTAATAGTTAACCGTTATAAACTAATTATCAAACACGTACTTTGACTTTTCTTCTTATGGTAATAAAAAAACTATTCTTATTTTTTTTTTAATTAAATTTTGTATTTTTAA